GCGGAGCAGGCGTCTTGTGTGTGTGTGTGTGTGTGTGTGTGTGGTGTGTGTGTGTGTGTGTGTGTGTGTGTGTCTGTGTCTGCTGGGGGCCTGCCCCCAGCCACACCTGGGAGGCGCCCCTCTCTGTTGATCTCTCAGGCTCCTGGCCTCCACTGCATGTTGTACTCTCCCTTGAGTTGTGGCCAGGGTGGGCCGCCCTTTCCTGCTGTGGGATCGCCAGAGCGACCTAGGGACAGGCGCACACAGGGCCTGGCTGCAGGCCGCCCTTTCCTGCTCTGGGATCGCAGCAGCGACCCAGGGGCAGGCACACACGGGGGCTGGCTGCAGGCTCCCCTTTCCTGCTGTGGGATCACCAGGGCAACCCAGGGTCAGGCGCACAGCAGGGCTGGCTGCAGGCTGCCCTATCCTGCTGTGGGATCCCATCCGCGATCCCATGGGCAGGCAGGTGCACACAGGGGATGGCTGCAGGCCCCCCTTTCCTGCTCCGTGATCGCCGCTGTGATCCCACAGGCAGGCGCACATGGGGGCTGGCTAGAGGCTGCCCTTTCCTGCTCCATGATCTCCAGGGCAATCCCATGGGCATGTGCACAGGGGTGCTGCCTAGAGGCCGCCCTTTCCTGCTCGGGGATCGCATGGGCAACCCAGGGGCAGGCGCACACAGGAGCTGGCTGCAGGCCGCCCTTTCCTGCTCTGTGATCGCCACAGCGATCCCATGGGCAGGTGCACACGGAGGCTGGCTGCAGGCCCCCCTTTCCTGCTCCGTGATCACCGCAGTGACCCAGGGGCAGGTGCACATGGTGGCTGGCTAGAGGCCGCTCTTTCCTGCTCGGGGATCGCAGCGGCGACCCAGGGGCAGGGGCACATGGTGGCTGGCTAGAGGCCGCTCTTTCCTGCTCGGGGATCACAGTGGCGACCCAGGGTCAGGTGCACACAGGGGCTAGCTAGAGGCACCCCTTTCCTGCTCCGTGATCGCAGCTGCGATCCCATGGGCAGGCGCACAGGGGGGCTGGCTAGAGGCCCCCCTTTTCTGCTCCATGATTGCAGTGGCCACCCAGGGGCAGGCGCACATGGGGGCTGGCTAGAGGCTGCTCTTTCCTGCTCCCTGATCACTGCAGCGACCCAGGGGCAGGCACAGAGGGGGGCTGGCTGCAGGCCCCCCTTTCCTGCTGTGGGATCTCCGGTTGCTCATCCCTGGCAGGGGCGACCAGGGAAGAGGCGAGCGCCGGCCTCTTCTGTGCCCGCTCTGGCTTCTCCGATCACGGCAGGGGGGCAGGCAAAGATGGCCGGTTCTCCCATTCAGTGCCAAGGGCAGTGGCTCCCAGCTATTGCCTGCCGCCTGTATTTCCAATCACTGTCCTTCCCCTGTGACCTCCCATCATTGCACCTATGTATGCAAATTAACCGCCATCTTTGTTGGCAGTTAATTTGCATATCGCCCTGATTAGCCAATGGGAAGGGTAGCGGTTGTACGCCAATTACCATGTTTCTCTTTTATTAGATAGGATAGAAGAAATTAAAGTTAACAAGTTTATGTAATGGGAACACTAACATTTATTCTCTTCTGTATTCTTGAAGTAATATATAATATCAAAAACTAGAAGTTGGGTCATTTTATAAAGCATTTATGGCTGGCTGGTTGTCATTCTAACCAGCTACATTTAACCAACTACAAATTAAAAATAAAGAAATAGTGTGATAAAGTCAACATGGGAAGTATGCCGAAAGGCAGTCCTTGGTTCAGAATCTAGCTCTATGATTTAATAGCTTTGGGACTCATGGCAAATTAATACTTCTAAGCCTGTTTTTCTCTCCTAATTTATTAAATTAGAGTTGTAAGGATTGTATTCTTTATAAATTAGTTAATATTGTTGGAAAATATAGTAATGTTTCTGTACCTTCACTTATCCTTTGGTGGGTGTATTTTGAAATTTGTGGACCACTGTTTTGAAAAAATTGCCTTCAAAGGGACCTTAAGCCAACTTAGCCCCGTCCTAGCAATAAATATCTTCAAATTTTTGCTTCTTTAATAAAAGATTACTATGAAACAAACATATTAAATAAATTTTAACTCACTGTTGTGTTACTATCAGAATTAACTGAAGAACTTAATTTTTTTAAGGCATTATTTTGGGCCCCATTTGGGTCTGGATTGGGACCCCACGGCCCCAGGTGTTTCTGATTTGTGCACATTTACTCGGCAGCAACTAGAAGTCTCATTTTCTTGGATATAAAATAGTATAACCTGCTCAGGGATTTTTGAACTTTAGAGAGTTTGAAATATTATTTTGATTTAGCAGATAAAAATGAATAAGAATGAATTTACTGGTTAATTTTTTTTCCTGAGCAAAATAATATAAAAGATTACATTTATTTTATCTTCAGGAATGTAAAGGTCTAATTATTCAAACAGTTTTTATTATGAAACCAAACTCTGAAGGTGTCTACAGTGTCCTCTGTTTAAATAGGCAGTCTAAGAGGACTAGAAAAGATAAACTCTGTTCAGTGTTTCTGATGAAATAGAAAGAGTGCAAACAAATGAGGCTTTAATTTGGCAAAATAGAGTGCAGTGTTAGCCTTGAATGAACAGTTTCCCAGTTACTTCACTCTGCTCCTGGGAAGTGTTCTTTCTCCTTTGTGAGCTGTCGGTGTGCTGCCTGGAGCTACCGTTATAACTGTTACAGTCTGATTTAGGGTTACAAGACATTGTCTCCTTCTCAGAAGACTCCGTTTCTGAAATAGTCAAAATTTCTAAACATGTTGCATGACCTCTAATGTTCAACATTTTTTTAATTTAGGAGGGATATATCTGTAAATATGACACTTTCTAAGTAAAGACGGTAATACTTATGTATATTTTGGTATGTGCATGTATATACAGGGTGGTGCAAAAGTAGGTTCACAATTGTGAGTACACAAAACATGGAGTTTACTCTTGTATTATTTATTAATTACTGTGATTATTTTCC